AGAAGCAAAACAAAAACAAATAAAAAACTTCACTGGTTTGTCTCCCAAAAAGCAAAAACAAAACACCTTGCTGGCCTGCTCTCAACGAGCGGGGTTTTAAAAATGGCGGAGCCCCGCTTATGCAAATGAAGCCCGGGAAATTCAAATCCTGGGCTTCATTTGCAACTCCGTATGACTACATTACCCCCCCCCCCCCCCAGTTCGAACTAGGGAGGTAGTGTAGACATACCCTAAGTTATGGGATAGGTACTGTGGTAGTGCAAGTTTCTATTCAGCCTTACCAGCTATCTCAACCTTAACAAGAACAGTCCATTTCTAGGGGTGGAAGAGTATTGCGGTCTCCATGACATTTCAGTTCCCGGTGATTAAGAGTATCAATGCATCTATCACTTGTGACATTGGACATCCATCTACTATATTCTACAGTGGTTCCACCAATTCATTTCACATAAGTCGCCAAAAAGCTCGCCATGGACCTATCTTGCCACCTAGAAATAAAAGGCTCTCTCACTCATAACCATTCCTCTGGGCCATCCAGTCCCTTTACACTAACATACTTAGTCTGTTTGGTAATCCAGGAAGACTGTTCTTACCCGTACCATATTTATTTGAACTGATACATTTATTTTAGGTTTAATAACATTATAGCTGGCTTGAACAGCATGCCTCTATGCCTTTACCTGTAAAACAGTTGTTCCAAGTAATTAAAAAGTCTGTAATAATTGTGTCATGAACTCAGTGAAGCTGTTTATTCATACTACTTATATGAAATCCCATTTAACTGAACAAGAGTCCACAAATGAGATATTCCAAGCAGCTTGCTGGTAATGTTTCTGCACAGGTGTGCATGGTAAGTTGCTAGCATTTCAGTTGTTCTCTTCCATTGATTTTTATGGACTTCAGCTGCCCATCTTCCTCAACTTCAGTTCTTTCTTGTCCATTCTCGATGATTTTCCTGGTAGTGATTCTTCTACCATTGACCACTTCAGTAGAAGTTGAGACTGATCTGAAGTTGTTTGACCCACTAGTGTCTCCTCCAAAGGATCTGCAGGAGAATGTAGTGTGCTCACCAGGGCTGGCTGAATCGAATGACATAAATGATTCCATAAGATCAGGAAATGTATCAAAGCCAGCAAAGCTAGCTCCTCTTCCATTAGTTCTGTGTCTGTTCTCACCTATATTTCCATCAAATGGAATGTCCCAAAAATCATGTGCAAAGGGATCCATTCCTCCAAAAAATTCCCTGAAGATCTCTTCTGGGTTACGGAATATGTATTCAGAATCAAATGGGCTGTGGAAGTGACCTCCAGTTGCACCTCTGCCTCCTCTGTGCCGAGTTTCTTTGCCAGATCTGTCGTAGATGGAACGCTTTTGGGGATCTGATAAAACCTCGTATGCCTCAGCTACGGCTTTGAATTTCTTCTCTGCCTCCTCCTTGTTCTTAGGGTTCTTATCAGGATGCCATTTTAATGCGAGTTTACGGTAGGACTTTTTAATGTCATCTTGTGAGGCTTTTTGGTGAAGTCCTAAAACTTCGTAATAATTCACCATCCCAAATGAAAGGTGGATGGATTTTGAAATACTCTAAGCTCAGTGACCTGAAGTCCTGAGTTGTTCAGGATCCAGGGAATCCTGTTTCCTTTGTGCGTTCCAAATTTGCTCCTCACAACCTGCTGATTTTGCTCAGTTCATCTTTTGATTTGTTTGTGCTTGGAGCACAGAGAAACACTTTATTTAAATTCACAATTTGATTTTAAGACAGTTGGGTGGTGGGATTGTGACATCAGAGGTAATTCAGCCAATCATTGTACAGCTCACTTTAGTGCTTTTTTTTCCTTTTTTGCACACTGCAATGATATTGGTGAATTCTACACATTTTGTCAGGGGGTTAGCTTTTGTTTGCACACTGCTATGACAGTCCCAAGATATTCAAGACACGTGGTGAGAGAGGCAATATCTTTTATTGGACCAACTTCTGTTTATTTCACATTTAAAAAAAATATATTTCTCATCTATGATGATGTACATGTGAGATACAGATCTCTGATGGCATTAATATAGAAATAGTGTAGTTATGTCTTATACTCTGCCTGCCTGTGAATTTTTGTAGTTATGCAATAGATATTGAGGGGACATGATTCTCCGCTCACATAGTCATTTTGATGCTAATGGAGTTCAGAGAACTGGGGAATTGGGAGCCAGGGCTCTTGAATTTTATTTTTGTCACTAACTAATTTTATTTTTGTCCCATCTCCTCTTTCTGTATCATTTCCCATATTTATATATTGGTAATGTGCTTTGAAATGCTTGGGTTAAAGGTGCCACAAAAGTCAAGATTGTTATGATAGAAAAAATAATTGAGGACGTGAATATGCTTCTAATGTCTATTTGCCCTCTTCCTGGCACACAGAGACAGAAATACAGTACATATAGGACCAAAGACCTAAAGGGAAAACTGCATCATCCACTAGAAAGGAACCGTAAAGGAAAAGCTAAGAAAGTTTCCCTTGAAGAAGAGGCCTTTGGCTGGTAATGGAGAAGAAGCCTTTGGCTGGAAGAATTTCCATTTCATTGCCAACAAGGATACATTTCTCTTGTGGGTCGGTGATAAGTCAATGCCATGGAACTACTTGTAATGTAATTACCTAAATTCAGCTATAAAAGTCATCATCAGTTAGTGCAATGAAGTTCTTGAGGTTAGAGCTCAAGGAAATGAAGGGCAATATTGAAGTCAAAGTTGTTTCATCTGCTGAGAATTCATCAGACATGTTCCTTCTCCTCCACCAGGATGGCTTCATTAATGGAGGAGGATGGTGCTTTGGAATTTGATGGTTTGGGGAGTACTGTGTGAATGGAGGAAGTGTGTTAAAAAATCCATGCCACTATTGCAAGTTCGTATTCTACCCATTGCGCTCTGAATTTGGAGCCCAGTCTGTGCCAAGGACTGAGGGGAAGTTTCCAATTAATTAATTAGATAGCCAGAAGGAATGAGGAGTGGAGAATGGCTGCCTGTATATACCGGATGTTGCGTTTTAATAATTAATGGTACCTTCATTCCTTTAAAAAAATTAAGTATGGACTTTTTCCTCTTTTTCCCCACTCTCAGATTTTGAATCTCCAGCATGGATGTTGAGTGAGTGTTCCCGGTATTGGACCCATCCCCTTTTGCCTATTTATTAGGAGAGGACACTAGGTGGAAGGACCACTTAAATTAGGGATCTCAAACTCCCAGCCTGTGGGCCATCCCCCTCTAGAGTGTTAGAGAAAAAACTGCCCCCCAGTAAAAAAGTTTGGCCAGGCCGCTCTTGCTATAGTGGGCAGCAGTACTTCTTGGGAGAAACCGGCCGCACCCTTCCTGCATACCATTGCCTTTAGAAAAAGGGAAGGTGTGAAAAGGGGAAAATAGCCTCAGACTCTCCCACCCATCACCTTGGCGTGAGAACTGCGGGGCTTACCTGTCGCATGAAACCTGCTCAGTTTCGGCCCAACCCCTGGGACACAGACCCCCCACTTGGTGACCATTGGGCTATATATGGTAATATGCAAGCGCGGGAAAGCGATGTGCAGATTTGGGAATAAATACCCATCGCACAGTTCACTCGAGGAGGTCTTCGCAACACACGTACCACCGTGCGTGTGCGTTCCTGTATACTTCAAAGCGCTGCCGGCCTGATCAACCGACCAGCCACCTCCCCCGACTCTCGGGCGTAACCAAGGCCTTCGCAACCGAACCGATATCTGTGAAATGTTCTGTGTTCTGTGTAAGTTGGTATGTATGATTTGATTTTTTCTTGTTGTATAAGCTTAGTGTTGTAGTTGTTTTGGGTAGTACATAGAGTTTGTAGTTATCACTGTTATTTAATTAGTGTAGCTGGATATTTTTAGACTAGAGACTATTCCCTTTGCCATTCCCATCCTTATATCTCTGACACGTTTAACTAGAAATCATAGAATAAATATAATAAATACCGTAAATTCTTTATTAACACGGTCTATTAAAATCTTAAAATAAATACTATAAATTCATCAGTTATAAATAAATATTTTTTATTTGCTAAAACGGTCCACCTGGTTTTGTCCTTCCCCCCTTGGGTATGCATCATTGGATCTGTGATTCTTGCAGTGGTACAATCCTGCCTGGGAGTCTCAGCAGGCTGGAGGAGTTGTCTGTTCCTATTCCCCAAGCCTCTCCCCTTCCCCTCCATCACCCTGCCCTCTACCCACCGTGGCATCCTGACTGCTGAAGACACAGTCTTGAGGATTATCAGGGAGGACCTGGTATGGGACAGCAGCAGCAATCGGGCCCTTCCTCCCATACTTTCCATGGTGGCAAGAGCCATGGGGAAGCTATGGGGAGAAGGCAGGCTGATGGGCAGGAAAGGGTTTGGGGAATGGGAATAGACAGCCCCCTTCTTGGCTGGATTGCCTGCCAGTTCTGACCAGTTATGGCCCACAGGCTGGGAGTTTGAGACGCCTGACTTAGATTCTTGTGCTTGAAAGTAATATTAGAGTTTCTACTTAGGGGACGGGCACTGTCTCCATGCTCAGAAAATATCCCTACAGTCCTGAAAGTACCAAAATATTCAGTTGTTGGATTTTAGCTTGGGACCTTCCATTATCCTGCAAAGCTTTACACATGTACTCAACTTTATGCATGTGAATAGTTGAACTAAATCAATGGAACCACTTGTGCTTAGAAGTCAGCACTTCTTTTTTGGAATGGGGCATTAGTGCTGCTGAAAAGTGCCAAATTACACCTTCGGTGAGAGGGGCTCTCTATTTATCCCTAAAACAGGTACAGCTCAAGTAGATGCAAGCCCCTGCCATGCTTCCCCACCAGTGTTCTTCAAACCCGACATAGAGGGATATCAGGGAGCAGGGAGAACAGGCTCCATGGGCATTTCAGTCATTGGCCTCTGAGCTAAAATTGCCATCCAGGGGATTTGGTTAGTGACTGTTGCGATGGTGGGTTTGTGACATAGGGTTTGTCTTCATTGCAGGCTAGATCCAGGGGCAGTGATCAATCCAGCAGGCAGCAATTTATTGCATCTAGTATAGATGTGATACACCGAATGCAGAGCTCTCTCCTGTTGACACTGTCAGTGCACCAGAACAAGAAGAGCAAGTAGAGTTGATGGGAGAGCTTACCCCCGTGATGAAGATACTGTGGTAAGCATGCCAAAATGTGTTGACTTCAGCTACATTATTCACATAGCTGAAGTTGTGAAACTTGGGTTGACATCCCATGGCAGTGTAGACCAGGCCACAAATGCCTACCCACAATGAAGTGGACTAAGAACCTAACAAACTCATCTCACACAGGCTGCTTTTGCCAACATGGGCTAGATTTGAACATTTTAAAATCTCTTGGACAAGGCTTCAAAGGCCATTGCATTCCTGTTTCTAACATCCATTCTCTGTTAGAGGGAGGGGAAAGACTTGGTAAGGAGCAGTCCCAATCAGCTTGCTGGGAGGTTTCCTGGGGGCATTTAGCAAGAGCTAGTTCCCAGCAGAAACCAATTCAAATTGGCTGCCATGAGTGGTATCGTATGGACAGGGAAGGAGGTAATTCTAACTTTTTCAGCTGTGCCATTTGAGATGCTTCTCCTCCCTCCGCAGTCACAATGCTCATATTTGGTGATGAGTGTCTGTAGAGTCTCAGACTCACTGGCGCACTGGATTATCTGTCTTGGATTTAGTACATTTACCAATCTGAAATGTAGGAAGTGTTTTTCTACTGTCATCTCAAATGAGGGCTGATCACTGCCTGTCCCTCTGCTGCCTGCAGCAGCCTCAGAGATTAGCTGCAGTTCAGCTGAATGCCACTGCTGTAAGCTAAAAGAGTTTGCAAAAGAGACAGAGGGGTGAAAAAGAGAAGGAGAAAGAGAAATAAGGAGAGGGAGAAAAACATGCACACAGTAAGTAACTAGACCCAAACTAACCAGGCAGCCCCAAAGAAACCAAGGCTTTGAAATGAGAAATGTTTTTCGTATCTTAAATCTCAAGTACAAACAATAAAAACCAGCCCAGGCTGTGTTCTTTGAAGAGAAGTACGAGTGACCTGAGCAGTGGTTATCAGCAGCGTCATTAAGATAAACGCTTAACATGATTTAAAGCATCCGAAACTGAAGGCAGCACTTTCAGATACTAACAAAACGGCCTGACAGTGGGGATGGAAATCAATAGTAATCAGATGTCACTAAAAATACTCAAAAGTGTCCCATGCTGATGGAGGTGAGATTAGTGTAAATATTTGTATTCTAATCAGTGGCACGCGAGGGCTGTAGGCGGCCTCTCTGTCTATTTAATTAATGGAGTGGCTTTTAAAAAGGATCCTAATCATATGTGATTGTATCTGCTTATCAACATTTTTGCTAATTAGATGATATGGAGGCAGTCGTTCTGCTAATTCCCTCATCCGAACAGCATATCCTGCTCAGATAAAGTACAGTCTCTTTTTAATAAGAAACAATCATGAGACAGACTAACCTTAATGGTGCTCATTATCTTTGGATTTTTTGCCCCCCCCCCCCCTTTGCTTAGGTTTCTGCTTCAGCATGCCAGATGGGCAGAGTTGCGGTCTCCATGTGGCTCCCATCATAATTTAAACACAATCGCATCCATGGGAAGAGCATTCTGACTGCTGAGGTCTTGTCATGGGGCTTTTTCCCTATATTTGTCCAAACAGGCAGTTTGCATTTTTCATACCTGTTCTGCTAGGATGGGAAACAATTTTGGATTAAAATGGGGGGGAGGGGGAAGTCCCCAAATTCATCCTAAACTGAGCCCTGTAGTGTCAACACTGAAATCAAACCGGTTCTGAGCCTTTGCACAAAACTGCAGCTGACCTCAAACTTCTATCCAACTCCTGGACTTTCAGTCACTGCACCAATTAACCCTTTGTCCAGAACTCCAACAGGCCCTGAATTTTCCTCCATGCCAAAGAGCTTTTCTGAGCTGTAAAAACAATTTTTTGTTTGTTTTTGTTTTGAAACAGACTTGGCAGAGAGTGTCACCAGGAGAAGGGTTTATTGGCAGCCTGTTGATCCTGTGACAAGGCCTGGATCCTTTTATCTATAGAACAACAAGAGCCTGGGACATTTGCTCTAAGTACTTCAACTGTCCAATCAAACAAGGGTCACACTTTGCTCTGCTACTCAAACTGTCATCAGACATTTCACCCCTCTGTGGCCCCTATCTAAAGGGATATTGTACTTGATTCCTTCCTGCGGGGGAGGGGTGGAATCTCACAACTTTTTCCCTTGCGAGAACTGTTAGAATCTGCGGTGAACGGGCTTTGTTAGTTCATACCTCATGGTGGGTTGTGTAATGCCATTTACAATAGGAATTGGCGGCCTTAGGAAAGATGTAAACTAACAGATTTAGCTACAAAAGCCTTTCCTTCTCAAGACAACAAAGCCCCCTCTCCACAGCCTGAACTCCTCCTAAGGAATCTACCCTTCACGCAGGCAAGCCAATGAGTATCCGTGTGGGCTGAAGTAATCGGGATATATGCCTTCTATTTAGCTTGTGGGGTCAGGAGTTTGCCTGCTGTTTTTGCAGCTGTGAATGGTGAGGAGCAAAGGCTTAAATGACACAGATTGCAACCTCCCACAATGGTGGATGGCAAGAGGAAGTTTCTGTGCATCCCATACAAAGATGTTCATGTATTAACTGCATTCCAGTAAAGTGCTGTGTGATAGGTGACAGAGAGGTTCTGGGGAGCATTAGGAAGAAATGTAGATCTAGCAGGCTGAATGGAACTGTGGCTGCTCAAACATCCTCTAACCTATAAATAATCAGGGAGGAGCCGAGGAAGGACTTTTCTGGATCCGGTTTCATCTGAGATTTCAGACCCCCCAAGATCCTAGTGACAGCTCATGTGAAATTTAAATCACAAATGGCAGAAGTCTCTTGAGACCACCTAACTCCAAACTAAGAACCCAGCCCTACATGGTGGGGCTGGATGAAGTCAATGGCAGCTGCTGGTTTGCAGCCTCGGATCATGTCCTAAATTCAGGAAATAGACCTCTCCCAATTTCAGATCACCTAGAACCAAAACCATATGAGAATGTTGGGACCAACCCATGTATTCTAATCTGAGCTCCACCTCATCCCAAAATTCAGTGCAGCTTGGATGTGACATTCCAGACTTGGCCCATCTTTCTATGTAACCAGTTATACCAGTACATTCACAACGATAGCTGTACCAGTGTTCTGCTCGGAAATAAGACAGAGCAGTCGTGCCTTGCTTCCCTGCCTGTGACACCCTTGGGATTCCTAGCTTTCCCCTTCTCTCTGTCGTATACAAAGGTGATGAATTCAATATTAAACACTGAGGAGAAGGTCTAGTTTTTGGTACCATGGCTAGAAGTGCTAGAGCTGGAAATGAAGAAGGACCAGAAGATGCCATATTAAAACTCCAGGAAAGAGAAAATGATGAATTACTGTCCCGGGATTTTTTTTTCTGCCTCCTGCCAGAGGGATGAGCTTTGTGGAGCATTCAGTTAGTAAACCAGAGAGGGAACATTGTAGCTCAGATTCTCATTATGAAGTGGTGGTTCATGACATTGCTTGGGCTTGTGCCTGGCAGCCGAGTTATTTGAGGCCACTCAGATATCCTACGGAAATGATACCACCTGGTTTTTAAAAGCTCCTCTGGTCTCTTCTGACTGCAGAGAGAGAGATGTTTACCTGCCTTGCTCAGCTATTTCACCTAAAACTGACTCATGTCTAATCTTGGACGACATTATATTGGGAAATAACCACCTCTGAGCACTACGCCTTCCCAGCTGCTAGATACCTTCCGCGGGTGGTAGTTAATGCCATGGGTGGTTGATGAAGGCACGGCTGGCGGAAACAAGCTCTCAGCCCCACCTCCAGCCCTGCCCCTTCTTCTGAGGCCCCGCCCCCATGGGGAGGTGGGGCAGCGTGCCATGTGCATACCCTCTTCCCAACCACAGAGAGAGGTGGGGAGCAGGCAGATGCGTGCTCACTCCAGCCTCTCCAGCTCCAAGGAGGGCAGAAGGCACACAGCATAGCCCCAGTCTCCCCAGCCCTGGAGGAAGGTACACCATGTGACCCAGCACAGCCCAGCCTAGCCTCTCCAGCCCTGGAGCACTGGGAGAGCGGGCTCCTGAGGCAGCAACACTCCACCCAGAATGTTTAGTGAAGGCATTCTGGGGACAGTGTGTGGGTGGGGCTATGCCTGGTGGTTTGGGAAGGCCGAGCCTTCCCCTGCCTTACATACCGGACACCCATGCTAAATGCAGGTCTGACGTAGCCAGGGCCTGTCTACACTTGAAATGCTACAGAAGCACAGCTGGAGCACTTCAGTGTAAGCACTGTCTATGCCAGGAGTCAGCAACCCCTGGCACGTGTGCCACAAATGGCACGCAAGCCAATTTTTACTGGCATGTGGAGCTGAAGCTCAGCCCCGCCCCTCCCCCCTTCCCTGCCCAGCAGGGAGCCAGTGCTGTGGCCCCAGCCTCTGCCACAGCTCCAGCTTCCTGCAGGGATGCAGGTGGGAGGGGCATGCATGTGTGCATCCCTGGCTCTGCATCCTGCTTCCAGAGGGGGCGGGGCTGGGCAGCCAGAACACATGGTGCACTGTGGCCCAGGCCACGCCATGCTGTTCCCCGAGGGCTGTGTGCAGGGAGCCTCTTCCTCTTTCACCCCGTTGTGCCCAGCCAGGCTGGAGCTGGGCAGGGAAGAAATTCTGCTCCCTCCACCTCTCCTCACTCCAGAGCTGCTCCTGGGGGGCTGCGAGTCCCAGCACTGCTGCCCTGCCGGTGAGTGCGCTGGGGACACAGGAGGGGGGTGAAGGAGGATGAGGAGGCAGGAGTTCACTGAGGGGCATGGGGTGATGCAGGGGATCAGGCTGAGGGGGATCATGGAGCTGAGAGGAATGAAGCTGGAGCAGAGGGCAGATGTGAGGGAGGATACAATTTTACTTTGCAGAAGTTGCACTTTCCTTTACTCCCCAATTCTTTGCCTCCCTCCCTAAATAGCTATTTGGCTGCATTCTCACTCTCTCACCTTTTCTGCTTTACTCCCCCAAATCCCTCCCACCCCCAAACTCCCTCTTGTACCCCTACCCCACCCTCTCTCCTGCTTCCAAACTCCCTACCAGACCCTACCCTCCTCACCCCGTCCTGCACACCACCTCCCATCCAGATCCTGCATCCGTATCCCACTCCCTGGCAGCACTGTCCCACACATTGAACCTCTCATTTTTGTTCCCATCCCAGAGCCTAAAGGGGTCCACAAAATCCACAAACTCTGGAACCCCAGAAAAGTAAATCTGGCCTGTGGGAAGCCTTGAACCTCAGACCTCCCTGTCCCTTCCCCTCACCCTGTGAGGGCTGGAGTGCCAGAAGAATGAGGTGTCTCAGTTGGGGACCACATCAGTGAGGGTTGGAGGTTTTTGAAGGAGTTTTTTTGCTTCTCACTTGTGTGGTCCCCAACTGATTTTTCTGTGGGTCAGTGGCCTCCCAAAAAGGTTCCCCACCCCTGCCATAAATAAAGAAAACATTGAAACCTTTTTGTGTTGGATATAATATTTTACTTTGTTTTAAATGAAATTAGATGCACTAACATGAGATAGTTAAAACACTTAATGTGTTTAGTAATTTAAATTAAACCGTTCTCCCTGACTGCAGCACTAGCAAAATGGGTCTGGCGTAATTCTGTATTTAATGATGAGTTTCCATTAACAACTGGTAATCCATGGAAAGGTTTACATTGACCCAGATGGTCCATAAGGCACGTGGTGGAGAGAGCCCCTCCCGGCTTCCTGGGAGAGTGATATGGCCCAGCGCAGGATTGTTAAATCTTGGCATGCTACTTTGGTTCCTGCCCTGGTGGAAAGTCTATTTTAGCAATGAGGAACCATCAGTCCTTTGTCTTCACTTGGCCTTTGACACTGCCTGGCCCATAGACGCTGTGCGGGGATGCATATGGGATCACGTGCACCCCCCCCCCCCAAAGTGCACCCTGCAACACAGAAGTGGCTGGCCAGCAGCCAGCAGTGGGGTGGCGCCCAGAGAGTCGGCACCAGCAGCAGGAGCCCATGCCACCTCCCCACAAACCTGCACTCGCCAGCACTGGCAGCAGGGAAGGCACAGTCCTGGTGGCTCTAGCTTGGGAGGTGCGTCTCCAGCTTGTGAGGCACCACACCAGGGGAGAGCCAGGACAGCCCCAGCACTCTCTGTAAGCAGAAGTGGCACTGCTTTCACTTCCAGGGCGCACCTGGACAGCCCCTTCCCTCCCCTAGAGTGGCACAGCTGAACTGGTGAGTGCATGGGGGGATGCAGCGTGGAACCCCGCTGCTGGTGCCAGCCCCTTGTCCCCACCAGTCCTCCCCACCGGAGCAAGGGTGAGGCAGGGGCAGAGTAGGGGTCAGGTGCCTCCCCTTCTTCTGTCAAGTCACCACTGTCCAGGCCTACCCTAAGAGGATGCAAAGAACTTTGAAGAAGCTGTAGACCAAAGTCAAAGTAAAGATTAACTCTGACTTAAAGCTTTTTACCTGAGATTAAAAATAGGTGTTTAGGGTAACAATTTGCATGAAACAAGTTTCTTAGTGGATTGACCTAGCTAAGTCCGTGGTGTCCAACACGCTAGCCACTAGCTCAGGCCTGGGCAAAATACTGCCTGCGGGCTGGATCTGGCCCACCAAGCCACCAGATTTGGCCCACAGAGGCTCCCCTGCTTACCCCACAGCCCCACACACCGCTCAGCAACGTGGCTGCTAGGCCCCATTTCTGTTTCAAAATTGAAATCCCGGAGGGGAGGGGGGAAAGCTTGAGGAGCTGTCCCAATCCCCAGTGCAATCACATTGGCTGGTTTCTGACAAGAAACCGGTCAATGGGAGCTGTCTGCTTGAATAACAGGCAGCCAAGAAGAACCATGCCCTCTCCCCTCAGCTTAGTTATTCACCCAAGCACATGGCTAGGCAAACAGGCTGTCTGTCTGGGAAATGTTTTAAACTCTGCAGTCGTTAGCTCTCCAGGCAGGCAGGTTTGGCTGCTGGCTGGTAAGTCTCCTGGCCAGAACCTGCCTCTGGTGCCCCATGCCTCTGGTGCCCCAGCCCCTCCTTTCCCCAATCCTCTGCCCCCCACTCAACATACCCAAACCCTTTGCCCCCCTTTTGCACCCATCCCATACCCTTTCCCAGATCTGGCAACCCAATCTCCTACCCTAGGTCACATCCCAAACCCATGCCCTTCAGTCCCCTGCTCTAGGTCACAACTGCTTGCTAAACTACATTCTTCCTCCTTCACCCCACTCCCTTACCCCAATCTCCCTTCTGCACCCAACCTCCATCCCAGACCCTGCACCTCCTCCATTAATATCATGGAAGAGCG